TTACGTCCATATTTATCTTATATTTTTAAGCATATATAAAGTCGCGATCAGTCGTTCACCGACAAAATGCGAGCTAACAGTCATTATGGACCATGATGTAGGCAGGGTGTCCCAAACCCTATATTTTCTGTAGAGCGCGTAGATGGACTCTGTCACTTCCTATGGTTGTGGAAGATTCTATATGGATTTGTGGTGGCTTTTAATCACAAAATTAGGCACAAAACATGCCTCATGTCCTGGATAGGCCTCTCGGAGGAAATTTTTTTAGGTATTGCAAAATCGTCACCAAACCTAGCAACTTGCGCCGACTATGTGCTAGAAGGTTCCAGGGGGTTTCTTGAGCTAATGGATGCTACAGATGAACCGTAGACCATCTTGAGTCATGCAGATAGACACCCTACACTTATGATATCAAAATTTGAAACCAACAAATGCCCATGGATGAAGTAGCACACAGTTACTTATGAAGGTACCTCTAACCACCTAATGATTAAGAAAGACTACAGTCATTATTGTTATGGTAATAATAGAGACCTCCGACTATCTGACTGGTTAATATTCTAACATTACTGATAAACCCAGAATGATGGAAAATCATGGGTATCTTGACTAGGGATATTATATCCAAATTTAGGTCAGTTCACATATTAAGTTTCTTTATAAAGTCTAGATTTACCTTAAGTTTAGGTTTTTTTTAATTTTCATCTAGATATCTTTACATCTAATCTTATTTATTTAGTATAAGAATCAAATTAAACCATTTCAAATCAAATATTTTAAATCTAACCTATTCTACTAAAACCTCATTCAAATCTAATTTATTGTATCTCAATCCTTTCAACTCAAAAAAATACACTAACAGTGCATAACATTATTGTGCATATTCATTAGGAGCAAGAAATTTTAAACTTTTGTATTAAGCTTGATTCTATCAAAGAATGGACTACCCTCCAGGATATCACAGAAGCATATGATGAGATTACTCAAATTAGGAATGAGTTTGATGATGATATGAATGAAGAAAATTTAGGTTTGTCGTTGACTAACTCATCTGATTAAACTAAATAAGATTGGTATAAATTTTTAGATTTTAGTTTCTTTCTGCTTTTACATTTTGTATTACTAATTTAATTTTACACATTGTTTATTTTTTATTTTCCTATTTTCACATTTGTTTCTTTTACTTATGGTTTGTCGTGTTTGTACTTCTGTGTGGTGTATCATGATTATACCTTTTTATTGCATACTCTTTTATTCTTTCTAATTTAGTCTTATTTTTATCATTTTTTTCTTCTTATTTTAGATGGCTTCAACAGGGAACAAAGATCAGCCACCTCGACAGTCTGTTTAAAATAGCATTTATTATAAGAGGTTCAAAAAAAAGACCGTTTCAAGCTCTTCCTTACACGGTACAAATGTTGTGATAGTCAGCACAGCCACCACTACACTGATACTCATAGGTCTTGTAGGTTCTATTAAGACTGTTACTTTGATGAGGTCTATTGCTCTAATCCAGCTTTTTCCACCATTCCATCCTCTTTCTCCTATCATTCCAACTACTCTGACGCCTTCAAACCCAAGCGTAAGGCCACTACCACCCTCCACTAATGAGTCAAGCCCCTCCGTTCCCACCCCTTCGATGGAGAACACATCCAATTGGTTCTACATTGAGCCAGAGGGATATTCTTGAGTAACCCAGAGTTATAGTTAATTGAATTATATTTTGATATATCATATAACATGTTTATTTCAATTTTTATCCCTCCAAGATGCCCGTATGCACATTATGGAAATCATAATAAGTAGATATGATGCTTTGTGTCTCTCATGGAAGAAGACGCTGATCATAATTTGAGATATGTGGTTCAGGGAGTTTGAGGTAAAATCAGTTGATTTGAATTAAAATTATGATTTTAAGTTTTTTTTGTTATACAAATAAATATTTTTAATAGTTATTTTTATTGAGGTCCTTCTACTAGCTAGCTGAGCATCACCAGCAAATCTGGCCAATTTTTTAGAATCATGGCTGGCATCGGTCGAATGCAGTGTACGTTCACTATGGCTAGTAAAAAAAGGTGAGCGATGTATTGAATAGGTAAGGATATATGAGTGACATTGAGGAGATCTTGGGCCACTCTAGTAACTCTAAGAATGAGGGAGGTGGCCCAACAAAACCGAGGAGACAAAGGGGAAGGGGGGCATCGCACTACACATTGGAGGTTTGGCCTTGCTAACCTACCACTGGAGAAGGTTGGTAAGATTCCCTCATTACTCAATTATTCATTAATGTAATTATCCAATACTTACTCTTTTTACATGTTAATAGACTTATGAGCTCAATTGAGAGCCCACCATTATCGAGTGGCATGACCGGATGCATCGATGCATGGGGATATAGCAGTGGGTCTACGACCTTTCTTGTTGTGTCCATGTAAGTAAATTAGTTTTTTATTTCTATAATTTACTTACAATTTTAATTTAAAATAATAAATATTCTTTGGTTTTAATTATATAGGATGACTGCAAGCGCATTTGGGACACCCAGAGCCATAGTCCAAAGCTAGAGCTTGAAATCTATTGGCAGTAGCGCATTAGTCGGTTAATTTTTGTGCAGTATGACTATGAGATATGGAGGCAAACTATTAGGAAGAAGAAATGGAGAGTCTACGACCTGGGCGCTTAGATTTTTGTATACGAGGTTAATCAGTCCAGATCAGGTTAGGATCGGAGGTTATCACTAGATCATGACGAACTTGCCAAACATGTCGACGCATTGACTAGGGATCTCCATGTGCTCTATGATAGGGGCATAAATATGAGAGGGGCGAAGCCACTTTTGTGCGAATGAAACAAGTTGTAGATCTTCGTGGCAAGCAATCTATTAGTGTTGTGCATGAAAAGGAGTAGGAAGATGATCGTGATGATGATGCCTAGCTCCTAGGGGTTTTCTTAGGTTCTTCCAGTCTTGATATATGGACATGACCTTCTATAAGTATATATTCGTTTACATTTTAGAAAATTGTGTTGGATGAACTATTTATTATATTTTAAGTGCTATATATGATGATTTCATTTATTTTCATTTTTGATATATGTTTCTTAACTTGATTTCTATGTTAATTAAATGTGAAATGCACATGTAAGAAAATTGATTGATTTTTTGTATATTTTATCGACACAAAGTAATCAACGTCATATAAAATCCAACTCAAATATTGTTGCTAAAAAGCTGCCGCTAAACTCTGGCACAAACATCTTTACAATGGAATATTTTGACATAAAACTGACCTAAATTTTAGGGGTGGAAATTTTTAGATGCTAACAGGTTTGCGTCCCGCATTTCTGCATTAGATTTGCATTAGCTTTAAATCCGTCGATAACGCGACATTGTGTTGAAATTTAGCTCTATCATCCGTGAAATTGTTTGGCCAAATTGTTCGGCATTAGGCACGAATGTGTTCCTTTTCTATAGAGTTTTCTTGGTTCTGAATTGAAAATACATCTGAAAGCTTAAGCAATATATTAAAACTTCTAATCATAGGTTCTTATCATCAATGTCAAAATAAGTAATTACAATGAGAACATGTCTTGTAACCTAAAGTCGTTATATTATATCAATATTGCTATCTACGATGACATACATTGCTTTTTCTTGTTCGATTATACAAAACAATACTTAATATCGTTCCAAAAGAGCAAATACACCCCCAAATGATAAATATTTCATCATAACACTTCATACCAATGCAGAGGCTTTCTCCTCTACCTCCCTCAACCCCCACCCTATCGTAAATGAGAGCGGCAATGGAGCCGAAGAAGAAAGAACCAATTGGAATATTTGAAATAACAATGTTATGGTTCACACTGAAGTTTTCTTGGCCGAAGAGCTCTGAAGAAACTGAGACGGCAATGGAGGATATGGCGCCGGAGCCGAGGCCGATGATGGCTGTGCTCACGAAGAGGGCGGCGTTGCTGGGGCTTAGGAGAACGAAGAAGGAAACAGACATGAAGAACATCAGAACCGCAATGGCGCCAGTGTTGGTTGCCTTGTATTTGCTTCTGTTTCCATTACATCATATATAGCACATAAAAATCAAAAATTTATAACTTTTTTCTAGAAAAATAACATTTTTATGAAGTAAATTAAGAAAATTTACATTTATCTTTTTATGTATATATGAATTTTAGGGGCATGTAAGTACACACATACTACTAATTCTTATGAAGTTATATGTCTAACAACTAGATTTATTTTGTTGGGTGGCTTGGCATGTATGTAAATCTTCAATTTTTTTTACCTTAAATCCTTGTGTTAATTATAGTCTTAATTAATTAGTATTATTTTTATATATTATTACTAATTTAATTTAATTAAAAAAATAATTTGCTTTATGGATTATTTTTATGTATTTATGTATATATTTTATTAAAAGTAATTTATTATATTTTCTTTTTTATAATATTACTTTAAGCATTTATAAATTTTTAATAATAATTTTGTCAATATCGTTTATTTTTTTGGTTATTTAACTTCAGTAGAGGTTCTATTTCATATATATATATATATAAAAGCTGTGCAATGTGCAGTTGAGTGGAAATTTAGTTTCAGGAGCCAATTAGGTTAAATATTGTAGGCAACATGAATTTTAAGAAAAAAGATTTGATATGATCATAGCATCAAGTATGATGTCATAATTATTTAACTATATATTGAAATAAAATATAATATCAGTAATTAAGCATTCAAACTTTTTGAAAATAGATGAAATTGATTCAATTATCTGGATTTTTTTTCCAGTGTAAAATAGCAACCCTTAGCCAAAATCAACACGAAAAAAATTCTTTATTAAATTTTCTCATAGATGAGTTTGTTTATTTCTATCCAATCACAATCCTAGCAAAAAAATCAAATCAACTTTGGACCTAAATTAACTGCACTACTCACAAACCTGAAAAAAGTAGAGAGCGGAGCGGTGGCCAGCCTTCCAAAGAATCCGAAAGAGGAATATACAGATAACAAACTGGAATCCGACACCCCTCGCGACTCCGATATTTGCCCTAAATTATTCCCGTACACCAATCCCAACGTCGCCCCACACATATACACCATAAAATATATCCAAAAATTCATCCTCTTTACCAACTCGCACACTTCATTCACATTTTCCGACTTCCCCCGGTCTACCTCCTCTTCTCTCCCTCCTTCCGCATCACCACCAACTCTCTCCCCCTCCCTCCCCACCCTCATCACCCCTTCGCCCACCTTCCACACCGGCACCACTATCACCACCGCCAACAAAACCAACAAAATCAACGCCGGCCATATCTCCGACGAATTCCTGAATGCAGGAAACATCGTCTCAATCACCGCATACGCACCCGTCGTCCCTGCAATAACAAACATGATCAAAAGCCCTGCCTTCACATTCCTCGGCTTTTCCCTCATCGCCGCAACCACCGGCATAACCAACAAGCCAACCACAGCCGGAGTCACAGCGTTTAACATCAAGTATATGCTCTTATCCCTCGTCGCATTTCTCCTCCCCACAATAACTTGAGCCAAAGCTAAGTAGATGTTCGCCGTCAAACCCATATAACTCGTCGTTAGCGCGATAACGGCGCCTTGATCCGTCCTCAAAAACTGTCGCATAACGGATCTGTAACCCGTCACATTTAACCAGCAAATACTGTTGCCATTCAGCATGTTGAGGAAGAAGAATTGTGTGTAAGAAAGTGAGGAGATTTTGTGGCAGAAGAAAAGGTATTGGATTCCATATCCCGCCAAGCCAAGCGAGGAGCCGATGGCTGGCAGGGACCAGCAGGGACAATGGAGGCAAGCGGATGGCGGCGAAACCGGCGCACCAGCCGAGAAGTTTGCCGGCATCAGAGGCCACGGCGAGGTTGTTGAGTTTGAATTGGGTTATGTGAAGCCGAGACTTAAGTTCGGAAGAGTAGGCCGGGAAGTCCGTGTTGGTGCCGGCAATGGCTTGGAGCCAAATGATGGTGGAGAGGGTTAGCCATGGAAGGGATGACATGGTCTGCTGAGACTTGCTCAACCTGAATGTTCCTGGACGTAAATGTAGACTATGTTCAGTTGTCAGCTGAAGTCGGAAAAGAAGAAGTTTAGTGGCATCTTGCAACCATGAAATTGAGGCTTTGAACTTTTTGTGAGATTGTTGTGGTTATAAAGTTGTTGTGTTGTTGGGATTACATAAGGAATTGTTTTAAAATATAGGATTGCCCGAAATATATTACACGTTAGAAAACATATAATTTACATGCATACTACAAAATTTTTATGTATTTACATACATAACACTCTAATTCTTAATATCTCATAAGAAATAACAACTATTAACTATTGGAAAGTGAACCATATTAGATATTTAAATACAAAGGTATTATGTGGCATGTATGTAAATTTTTAATAAAATACACAAGTATATTGTGCACGTTAGTGTTTCGGCCATGTAGTGTTGTTTGTACGTAATATTGTCTTCTTCGCATTGGAGCTGCACCGAATGTATCATAAATGGAGTTTCTTCTACGGTACGGCCTTCTGGGGAATCTCCGGGTGCTAGAAGTTGGCATTAATGCAATTGCTTCAAAAGGAACAAAAGTATTATATGTAGAATTTTTATGGGAATTCATGGTGATGTACAGATGTCTATGTCTTAATTTATTTACAGTTTAGTGTAAAATATGCAGCTTTGGTTGAGATTTAGACTACGATGGACGTAATATGTACATTGGTTGAAATTCATATACTATTGTTGGGAAAATTTGATTTATATGAGTCATAATATGTACATTGTCGGATATTATTATTAATTTATTATTTGAAAAAATATGTCCCGAAATGCCTCTCATATATTAAAATATGAGTTATGACAAACACATTCCAAGGACTTATGGAAGCTTCCCAATGGTGGATGCATGAAGGCGACTCTTTATGGCACTTTTGACATTGGTGTTTTAAGTGCTCATGCTATCCATCCATAAGGAAGCTTTATAATGGCAGTTTTGACTTTTCAGCCATGACTTATTCAAGACAAGTGTTTTCATACATTAGGAGCTCTCGATTAGAATGCATTTCACCTACAAAATCCTAAACTCTTATTCGCCTTAGACATGGTACTACCTTTTGACACCTTGGTCATACATAACTGAAATCAAAATTGAGCTTTATTTGATTCATATTCAAATCTTGCTTGGAACGTGCTTGAACTGTAATTAGAACTGGCTTAAATGCAGCACAAACTCAATTAAATCATGTTTAAATCTTGTTCAAATGATAATTTGAGAAAGATTCGAATAAAAGGTTTAATAAGGCTTAGATATGATTTAAGCAATTTTGATTTTGTACATTATGCTACATGAAATTAATTTATTTTAGAATTTTTGCTATGTTTGCTAATACATGATTTACTTAAATCTATTAAGAAATATCACACTTGAGTGACATGCGGTATTGGTGGTGTAATAAATAAAATTATTAGAAAATTTAAGACATTTGATCATATTAATATGTCGAGGAATTTTACTATTAAAATCTTTTTAAATATCCCAAGCAATAGTCTTTCTTGACTAAACCCAATATAAATCACAACAATGATGCGAGTCACACCATATTAACAATAGCTAATAAATTGTTGAATATTAAATTGAAAGGATTTTTTTTCTTACAATAATTATAAGCATATAGTATTCTTATATCATCAAATGGATAATAAATGAGAACATCACATTTTTTTTTGTTCTTATTGCGAAATTTTCTAACAATATATATGGTAATCAAACCCATTATCTGGTAGCTAGGTGCTAAGACATCAACCGCCGTTCTAAAGTTTGATTTATTAGCTTGGACAAATTCAAGAGATAAATGTTTACCATTATAGGTTTAACTAAGTCAAAAACTTCTAAAAGTTGATTAATGGCTACTTTTTACAATTAGAAGAAATTTATTATTAGAAATCAAATTACTAAATATTGTTAGGTTTTTAACTTAATAGACAATTATTCATTGACTTAATTTATAGTTTTAGACTGTATCAATTGTTGTGTTTGGCTTAGATCCATTAATATAAATAGTAAATATTTTTTTTTCGTCATATGGATTCAATTTTGAACTTTAATTATAAATAGAACGTAAAATGCGCAAAAAAATATTAAACACTAAATCCGACCTAATCTAAACTAAAATGACTAATCTCTCTCTCTCTCTCTCTTCTCTCTCTCTCTCTAATCTCTATCTCTCTCTCTCTTCCCTCCCCTTAATGTATCCTCTAACTTAGTTGACCTTGTTACATTCTTTTTGAAATATATATATTCACTATGGGAAATAGGTTAAATAGCAACAGACTTATTTTCATGCAAATTTATCGTTAGATTTGCATCTATTTTGTGGTGAAAATGATTTGTAAGTGTTTACAAGGAAGTTTGCGTCAAACGCTATCGATGCTAACTGTTAGCAATAAATTTAACGTTAACAAAATGTCAATACAATATATTTGTGTCGTGGTTTTTGTCAACTTTTTTTCTAACACATTATACTTACTAAATAACATCAACTAAGATGACAACATCCCTGTACTAACGAATTTGCATCATGATTTCTCCAATGCAAATCCGATGCACATGTTTTATAATTCTAATTCCATTCCACAGAGCCTCATTTTGCCCCTCTCACTTAACATCAACTATGATGACAGTATGTCTGTACTAATGAATTTGCATGATCATTTCTCCAATGCAAATCTGGCAATTCCATCCCACAGAGCCTCATTGTGCCCCTCACACTTTTGTAATTGTTTAGTTGATCTCCCCCCTCTCCCCAAACCCTCGCATCTCCCTCTCCCTCTCTTTGTTTCCTCAGAAATGGTGCATTCGTGACCGAACCCACCCTCGCGCGATAACCATAATTGAAGCTATATGGGTTTAGAAAATTTGAGGCTTTCTTTTTCCAAATGAATGTCTTGCAAGTTTGGGTTTATATATGTAATATATAAGATATGTTATGTTTGTATGTCACTTTTGAAGTTTAGGTTTAGATAGATGATACATAAGAATTGTGTAGTTTGTAAGTAGATATTGAAGTTTACTTTTAGATTTCTAATACATAAGAATAAAGTGGTTTATTTGTAAATATGTAAAAATTAAAATTTAATTAAATGTATGTATTCATGTTGCTTTTCCGTCTATTTTTTTTCTTATACTTATGATATTTATAGCTATTAATTTTTACTTTCATATTATTTCCTGTTTGTTATTACATATGAAATTAGGTGGCAGGGACAAGCATGACCTTCCTCGGAGTGAAGTCATCTCTAGCTTCTCCTGAGGAAGAAGTAAGTGGGTTCACGCTCCACCATATAGCCCAACAAGCCCGTCCGGTCACTAGCTCCACCTCTAGTTATGCAAGCCTTTTCCACCCCCATAGAGCTCATTAAAGCATCAGTACCTCTAACCTCTGAAGGGACATGCCTCTCTCATGTTTGTTCTGATGTGGCTACCAAATGGAAATTCCTGTAGAGCCAAATAAAAATTCAAAAATGTTTCAAGATATATTTATTTGTATTTTTCCCAATTATAATTTTTTTTTCAATTTTTTTTTTTTTTCCATTCCAAGCAGCCTATCCACATGATTGTGGAGATCATCAAATTCTGCAGCTAAATACATTAGTTTTCTATTTACCGACAAGGTTTTTTGTGGCTGACCAATTTAGTCAGAAAACAACCGTTAATCAAGTTTAGCGGCTGAAAATCAATGATTACCAGCTGAATTTTCATCCAATAATTGCTGAATTTTCTAGTGTTAGTGAGATGATGCACTTCTATACTATCCCTTCTGAACTTGGATGCTTAAAGTGACTAGAGGTAGGACTTGGTTGATAATTTAATGAAATTATTCTTATAAATCCAGGACTTTCTCCAAGGCCCTCCTTGATATATATACATTGCAATTTTGTACTTGCCTCAATGTTTAATGATCATCTATTGCAATCATGGGATGGAGACTTCACATCATCACATGTAACATTATTTATATGCTTCTTTTCTCATTTTTTGGTCTACTCCATCCGTACCCTTATTTTGGCACACAAAAAAAAAAAAATTTTGTTTGAGCTGAATGTCATTTTATACGAATGAAATTAGCTACAATAAAAAAAATATATTAAAATTAATTAAAATATATTAACTTAAGTGAACATAAATGACATTTTTTTTTGACAAAAATACCTAAAAAAAAAAAACTTGAATTAAAATTTCATGGAAAAATATGATGACCCATACACTTTATAACTCAATGTACATTAACTATCTACGAATTAATGGTGTTCTCGTTCGTGAAAAAAGAACAAAACATAAAACAGTCCCAAAAGAGCAAATGCAGCCCCAAATGATGAATGTCTTCCTGTAGCAGTCGGTTCCAACGCAAATCCTGTCCCTTCCGGCACGCGCATTCTCTCGCTCATCGTAGATGAGCGCAGCAATGGAGCCGAAGAGAAAAGAACCAATTGGAATATTTGAAATAACAATGTTATGATTCACTCCGAAGTTTTCTTGGCCGAAGAGTTCGGCGGAAACAGAGACGGCAATGGAGGATATAGCGCCGGAGCAGCCGCCTATGATGGCTGTGCTCAGGAACAGAGAACCGTTTCTGGAGCTAAGGGGGATGAAGAATGAAGCAGACATGAAAACCATCAAGACACCTATGGCGCCAACTTTTGATATGTTAAACTTCCTCCTGTTTCATTTTGCAGGCAAACAAAAATTAAGAATTCAATACGCCAATTTGAATAATGTATTTAATTTGTATTTTAAAATCTCCCAACAATATTATTAAATTTTGTGGGCAAAAATGAAACTAGAAAATAAACTTTAATTTCCGTGTGAATGCAAGCTAATATTAGCCAAAAATATGTGGCCAAATTAATTGACTGATGCCCAATAAATTAATGCCATCTCTTAGCATTGCGATTAGCGCTAATCTCTTGCCAACAGGACACAACATGATTTGACAAACATTTTCACGGCTACTTATACGGTAATGATTGCTTCTCTAATTTTCAAAGGAGGCCAGAAATTATGCCCAAATGGGCGTGACAATTATTATTCTCTTATCTATCATATGATATGATTATAAATTTATCAAATATTACATTCATGCAGACTTATCAAATATTACATTTTATCAATTATTTTCTTAATCTATCATCTACTATTATGTACACATGCATAATGTTATGAATTCCGATTTATTCTATACTTTTCTCACAACAATTATCTCTTAAATGTAAGTAAGAACTATGATATGGCTCCATTAGTTTAGTTGATAAAATTTTGAAATTTTTTGTGAGGTAGCGTACTCTAATCTTAGTTTAAAGACTGACTTTACATACATACTACATACTTCTTATGTATTTATGTATATATTGCAACACATCAAAATCAATGCATGAAAAGAAAAAATTAATTTAATGTATATTTATTAATAGTATTATTTATGGTATGATAATTATATGGGTGTTATATGTATAAATATTAAAATTTATGTGATAAAAATATATAAATATATTAAAATTACATCATATGTTTATAAATTGTCATAATTTACAACAAATATTCCCCACTCAAAAGCATTTATATAAAATAATATAGTAAAATATGTTATATCAACAAATAACTAACCCGGAGAAGATGGAGAGTGGCGCAGTCGCAAGCCTCCCAAAGAATCCGAAAGCAGAATATATGGAGATCATGATAAATTTCGACACACCTCGTGACTGCGATATCTGCCCCAGGTTATTCCCATACACCAATCCCAGCGTCGCCCCGCATAAATACACCATAAAATACACCCAAAAATTCAGCTGCTTGATCAACTCCAACACTCCTCTCACACTTCCCTTCCTCCCCGCCACCTCCATCTCCACCGCGGCCACCTCCTCCTCCTCTTTCTTCCCTCCCTCCACATCCCCAACCTCCCTCACCTCCACAACTTCCCTCACCTCCACACTCAATTTCCCCTCCTCTCTTCCTCTACATGCCACCCACTCCCCTAACTTCGACACCGGAACCAAAACCACCGCCGCCACCAGCACCAGCAATATTGTCTCCGGCATAACTCCGGAAGAATTATGCAATGCCGGAACCGTCGCCTCTATCACCGCATACGTCCCTGTTACTCCCGCGATGCCAAACATCATCCCAAGCCCCACCTTCACATCCTTCTGCTTCTCCCTCATCGTCCAAATCGTCATTACAGCCAACAACCCTATCACAACTGGCGTAACAGCATTGAGAAGCAGATATATTCTATTCTCACTACCCGCCGCATTATACTTCCCAACTATAAGGTCAGCCAAGGCTACGTAAATCTTAGCCGTCAGACCAGTATAGCTCGTCGTGAGCGCGATAATTGTCCCATGATCCTCTGGCCAAAACTGTCTCATGATGGTTATGTAGCCCACCGTGTTAAACCAGCAAATGCTGTTTCCATTAAGCATGTTGAGGAAGAAAAATTGTGCGTAAGAGAGTGATGGGATGATGTTGCACGTGAAGAGGAATTGTACGCCGTAGCCAATTGCCCCGAGAATGACTCCGATGGATAGAACGGACCATAGAGGGAGGCGGGCGGCGGCGGCGCCCGCGCACCAGCCGAAGAGCTTGCCGGCATCAGAGGCGAAAGCCAGGTTGTTCAGCTTAACTTGGGTTATGTCAAGCCGAGACTTGAGCTCGGAAGAGTAGGCTGGGAAGTCTGTGTTCGTGCCGCTGATGGCTTGAAGCCATATGACGGTGGCTAGAGTTAGCCATGGACGCACAGGCATGGAGCTTGTTTTGTTCCCTGTTTGTGCGTGTGGACGTGAATTTGGACTACGTTTACTTCTCTCAGTTTTTATGCAGAGAAGTAGAGGAGGGGAGATAAGTTTTTAAAAATAATGAGATTATTGGTGTTAATTATATAGAAATGATGGTGCAGGAAACATTATAAAATGTACTGTATTTAAATATAGTTCGCGAAATATGTTTTTTTCGTATTGTTTCGAAGTGGGTCTGTGCTGTTTTTATTTTTCAACTATTTTATTTATTTATTTATTTTACATACGTTGGCACATATGTAATATGTTTGTCCGACGATAGAGGGATGCGGTATCGCTTGTGATGTGGAAACGTTCTATATTGTTTAGCTCGTGTATAAAAAGAGTGCCTTGGACGTTACGGGCATGCTCTCCGGCTACCAAAACCCATAATTTTTTTCTAATTAACTGATATGCAATTCTTTGATTGAATTTTTATATGGTTAATGATGCTATTTTGAGGTATAAAATCGTCTAAGAAATTAGTCGTTTTATTATTATTATTTTTTTTTTTTATATCACGACAAACAAACAGTCGTAAATCAAATTTTAGCTTGAACCAATTTTTGAAATGAACTTGGATTGAATCATGAAAGTCAAATATATTTTATGTAAACATGAAGCTTGAGAAAATGTGAGGAATCAAAAAAAGGCTTTATCAAAGAGGATTCACCCAGGGTTAAAAAACACGACACGTGAGCCGGTAAGATCTATTGCCAAATAACTCCCTCCGACTAGAATATGAAGTTGGTTGACAAAACAAGGAAGTTGATCGGCCGAGAAGGCCGACAGTACGAAGATTTGGGCGACCGATATATAGTTCCCATCGACCAGCTACTCGCACCCTGAGGAGTCTGACGAGCGGGCCTCGTCGATCCAACGATTACCGACTACAGGAAGCCGAGCGGTGGGAGGAGCCGAGTAGAAGACTTTTTGCAGATTTATTTATTTATTTGTTTATGTATTTGTTTAAAACTAAATTACCTTGCAGCACCCTTATTAACACTACACGTCAATACGCTATCAACAAATCTCCATCATTCGACACAAATCTCAATTCGACACAAATCTCAAGATATCGCACGGATATCAAAGCAATCTTTGTAATAAGGAATGTTAAAAATTCAACTTGTATTAAAACTGACCGGCTCGATGAGACATACCAAGGATACCAAAGTTGATCCAATCAAAGTAAAATCAAGCTTAGATCAAGTAATTAAACCACTTTTGAAAGCTTTCCAGACGTATTTGGAAGATCAAATGGATGTCGATTCTGGTCGGCTTAGGGTCGAATCGAGCATCTCGATAAGACGAATCTGACGGCTCAAGATTGCTCAATTTCGACATTATTAAGTCCCTCAGATGTTCATCAAACTTCATCAGATTAAGGAAACCTCTCTAGATCGTTTGATCAGATTGTTTCATATTCTTTCATTACATAAAGCCCCACAGCTCTAATGAGAGGGGAGGAGAGCTTGAAACTTTGAGAAAGAGCTTAAGTCTAGCATCACTCCTGCAGCGGTCGATCGTCATTAACCACCATGAACCACCACTATCAGCCACTGCCAATATCCATCAGTCATCGCCCATTCCTTGAGATGAGATTGTTCACGCACTGACACTGTAAATAGAAAGATTGTCTAGCTCTTTCCCATCTGTAAGACAGAATTTTGCATGTAACCTCCAGTTTATAGTGGATTTTATTCAACCTAACCAAGCTTCGTGGTTTTTTTCTCTTTTCAAGTTTTCCATGTAAGAACTTCAGTTTATAGGAGATTTTATGGTTTTTTTCATCACAACAAACACTCATAAATCACATTTTAGTTTGTTTTTTTTTTCTATCACGACAAACACTCATAAGTCAAATTTTAGTTTGAACCTATTTTTGAAATGAACTTGAATTGGGTCAAGAAACTCATACATATTATATATAAAAAATGCATCAACGAGAATCTTGAGAAAATCTAAGAAATCAAAAGAAGCATGATTAAAGAGTACTCACCGAGGGTTATAAAGTACACGACATGTGAGCCACTAAGGTCCATTGCCTCATAACTCCCTCTGAGTAGAATCCAAAGTTGGCTGACAAACTAAAGAAGTCGATTGGCCAACAAAATCGACAGCATGAAAAATTGGGAGCCACTTATTCCATTATTTATGCTATGTATGCATCCACCATCAATGAAAGAATCTTGTCAGCTCTCCACCAGAAAGTATCAATTATATCCTACACTTGTTTAATGTGTCAGCAATGACGAAAATGTATTTCTCTCCTGTCTATATATTGCTCTTTCTTCTCTTATGAGAGGCAGAGCGAATTAAGCTAGTCTTTCTTCTTCTTCTTCTTCTTCTTCTTCTTCTTCTTCTCTCTACTTGTAATTTAACTTTGTGTGTCTGCCACAGTGGCTAAGTAAACTCTTCTTGCTCTATGTCTGTAAGTATATTTTAAAGTATTGAATGCTCTTATGTTTTATTCCTTCAGGGTTTAAATAATACTATATTATTTTGATTATTCTTCTTCTAGCCATGCTTAGTGTAAATACATCAATGAAAGGAGAGTTAACTTTTTCACTTCGAAGTTGGATGCCACTGTAAAGGCATGGAATTATTTTATTTCTGCTCATATGCTGCCTACAAATCATCTTAATGAAGTGACCTGTGATCGAGCAACTTTGAACTGAGGCACCTAAATGCTCAGGACTTGTGCCTAAGCGTCACTTATTCAGAGAGAGTCGCGCCTAAGCATCAGTTATTTAGAGAGAGTTGTGCTTAAGACATATCTTGCACTTAAGCCCTAGAGGCAGTTACTTAATGATTCAATGAATTTGGACAAATTTTTGAATAGTGTTTGAAAGAACTTTTGGTAAAACCATGGGGTAAGGTTAATGAACACGAAAATACATTCAATAGGCTTTTGACAGAGGCAAAACTTGGAAGATTCAATAAATGGAGACACATTTTGAAGAGACATTAAGGCACCTTTTGGATTTTCATAAAAAAGACTTGGATCATCAAAGCAAACTGCTGAGACCAACCATTAGACATCCACAACTAGCATTCATCTAAGTAACCACTGTCATTGTCGCTGCTCGCTGCAGCCACCGCCGACTACTTTCTTTTTATTTTGAGAGTTAGTTTTTATTGCTAGGGAATGAAGAAAATTCAAAGGAACTTCAAGACATTTGGTGGAGAGGATTTGAGATAAGTGTTTATCTTTGTGACTACATTTGGTTTTAATTTAGATTTCCTGTTTGTGTGCATGATTTCTACTTTTAAACTCATGAGTGGTTGTGTTTTCTCCATGGATTCTAAGTAGTTTTCCTTATTTTTTTTCTTAAAATGATAAGTGATTAAGTATTTAAAGGAAGTTGTGTGAAGCATTAGACTTCAATGTTGAAAGAAGTTGTAATGATTTCAAACCTTATACTTTCTTTACTTCTTGATTTGGTCAATTAAGATGTTAATACCTGTTGTGAGAACATGCAAGATCCGAGATGTGACAGCGACTTTTTTATATACCTAAAAATACAAGAATTTGACACTACTACTAGAAGATTTAAACCCCCAGCAATGACGCCAAAAACTTGATGCAACTTTTAATATGCAAGAATTTATGAACCCAGATTTATATATTTATAATGATTTTGTAAAGTCACAA